TTTACTCTAGATCTGTCTTTCTTTCTTCCTGCCATAAGATTTGTGTTTTTTTTCTTTCAGTAAGCAGATGAGAACAAAAAGATTGCTCATGAAATGAGTTACTGGCTATTGTTTACATGGGAGACTTTGGCAATACATTATTTTGCCCTGTTGTGATAATGTGCATCACAGCTTCATTTGTTCCACTAAAATGTATATTCTCCTGTAACTGCTCTGAAGTACAGAGGACATGGTACTTTCCAGTTCTCTTCCTAAGCTCTGACAAATGACCTACAATAGAGAAAAAAGATAAGAATGCCCTAATAAATCATTATTGCTTCAGCTTTCCAGGCGGGGTACAAGAATTATATGCTTCTGGTTCTTTTTGTTGTTGCTGCTTTGCAGTTCTTTCTGCTTGAGAAATTAATTGCTGCATAGTGACATATTAGGGACACTTTTATTCCCGGGAAAAGTTCATGCGGGATTTTTCACATGTGCAGTCAGACAGTAACTAGTTTGAGGTCAATAGTAATAAAAATTAGAACATCTCTCAAGTATTTTCCTCCCATAAAACTGTTACTCAGAATGATCACACTGGTACCAAGTGTTGTGTCAGCAGCGAAGAGAATTGTTCAGAAGTGCAAAAGCAAGCTCCTGCCAACTTACTAAATCTGGAAATATTTTTTAGAATTATTTTTTGTCTGTTTGTTGTCTTGACTGGCTTTGTTCCTGATGATCCACAGAGTGTCCCTGTGTGGTCTCCTGGCATGGGAATCTGAGATGAGTTTTATGTTTCCTCATTCTTTTTTCTTGCTGAGGTCTGTTCAGTGGCTAATGAACAAATTTATGCCATGTTACATTTATCAGAGAACAGTTGCTACTGAATGTGTGTAGTAAAGGTTAGATATGAGCACGTTAAAGGTGTTTATCCTTTTTGTAGCATTGTAAAGTTTTAATCATCTGAATTGGGAAATAAAATCCCTGAAGGTAACAAAATGTTCTTTGAGTCACAGTACACTGTATATATTAAAAGGATTTCATTGTAATGTATGTTTTCTTCAGTGGTACCACCACTGCTCAGGCAGCAGAGTTCTGCTGCCAGGTCCTTTTTGGCTCCCTGGTATGAAGTTTGTTGGGCCATGTGACTGGGATTTCAGATTTAAAAGTAATTAACGGATACTTCTACTCAGCAAGCTGCTCCCATTATAAAAAGCAAGCAATCATAATCAGCAAGTACATTTTTCAATAAAGCTTTTCAGGTTTCTCTGGCTGATAGTAGGAGAAAAAATACTCTTTTTTTTTCGTACTTTAAGATACTGTGACTATAGTCAAATTTGTTACCCAAACCTAAGTTTGCCATTGGAGCACTATGGAAGGTCACTGCCACGGAGCAGGGTAGCATGATGGAGTTGCTACAGGGAGAAAATAAATTATTTAATCTTTCCATAACAATAGCAGGTTTGGTCATAGTAATATGTATCATTTCTATCCAACTTGAAAAAAAAAAATCTGTAGTCCACTAAGTCCAAAGATAGTATACCTGCAGCTTGTGGTTCTGTGATCTTACTAATACTTCAGAAGGCATTTAATGTGAGACTTCCTTCTCTCTTCCCTGGTAATCACAATAGAAAGGGCACTTGGATTTAATTAAAAATCCTTCAGGAGGTTTATCCCTGAGGAGGGCTAGCCAGTGTGGATGCCAGTGTGGTCATGCTGCCTGCTCTGTATGAGCACACGGAATCCATTCCTGGCTCTGGCAGGGAGGATGGGAAGGTTAGCACATCTCTGAGCTGAACAGGGCAGTTCATGCAGAGCACTCTGGCACACTGAACTCATGTACTTACCGAGGAAGCAATACCTGGAAATTCTCACTTCAGGCCCAAATCACAGGTTTTTTGGAAACGAGGATCAAAGCATAGTTAGCTGAGTAACAAAATCAGCCAGATTTAAAGGCTGTTTGATAAATTACTTGTATATAGTAAGGTTGCACTCAACTCTTCCCCCAGCTCATAATATTTACATATCCCAAGGTAGTTTACATCTTTAACAAGTTTTACCTCTGGGGAGAGACCAAAATATCTTAAATTTTGTTGTCCCTGCATTTTGTGGATATGCTGTAAAATTAAAAAAAAAAAGGCTAGATTTTATTGTGTATAGGCTGGAAATGATTTCAGTGTGCCATGACCTATACCCTGGCCTCCATCACCAAAAATCTGCCTCCTGAGCTCTGGATTGTGGTTCCAAGAAGTAGCAACAGCAGCACATTGGAGAACACTGATGGCTTTGGGGGATATGCACAGGCAGGGCTGTGAACACGCTCCAAACTTAGAAGTTGGCATCTGCATACAGTATTGCACAAAGAGCCAAATGCAAGAGATTTCTGCACTTCACTTGGTTTATTTTTATTTTGAAACACAGAATAGTCATTAAATATATGTGTCTATCCACAGTGAAATTTGAGTGTATTTAAGTGATAATATTAAGAGGACGCATCTCAAATGAAATGCTAAAGTTGTACAGTTCTCTGTATTACATTTGAACATTCAGATTACTTTGATTCTCAGGAATAAAATACACAAGCAAAACACAAAGAAATGCTTCTAATAATATTTTAATTTTTTTTTCTTTTTTCTTTTTTGATTTCAGATTATGTTATGGGTCATTGAAAAAATCCACAAACCCCCATGTATACCAAAATAAATAAGTAAAGCATGAAGAATGATTTCTGATGATTTAGTAAGAGAACACTAAGTGCTGGTTTTAAGTGTGGTCAAGAAGGTGCCAAGTGTTTGTTATAGTCACCTATATCTGTCTTTTTCATAGTTGTGTTTCTGTTTGGGTTCTTTTGAAACCTAAGTATGTATTAGATAATTTTGCTCCTAAATGGGCATTTTACATGAAGATCTGAGTGAAGATCCCAATCTGGTTTTATCAGTAAACTCACAGTTCTGTCAGCTAAATATAAATGTATTTTTAAATGAGTTTGAATAAGACTTGGTGTAAAAGCTCACTGGATGTGTTTTGCTGAAGAATGCTATTGGGTGGTGCAAGTTTCCACAATTTTAAGATTTATCAGTGCAATGGTTATTTGAGACAATTAGGAATTGTTAAACTAGAGAAGAATAAAGTTGTGGAGAGTAAGTTGTGAGGACATGTTGAGAAAGTTGAGGCTGTTCAGCCTGGAGGGAAGAAGGTTGTGTGGAGACCTTATGTTGCAATGATCTCTGAGTTAGCAGTAGTATAGCTAAGGGTTTCTGTATAGACCAGGCCCAAAGGTTTGGAATGTGCTAGCTATGCAAGATTAAGGAAAAACAATTATAAAAAGAAGAACTGAACATGCACCTGGTGGTGGGAGTGAGTTAAACGAATTAGGCAACTGGGGATGATTTATGATGACCTAGCTGGGAGCTAATTATTTGGATGAAATATTAAGTTTCACCATGTACTTTGAAGTAGCAGCTTAGCAAATGTCTTTGTTTGTCTGAGTGTATAAAAGATGTGCTCAAGATGAAGGGTGCGGGATTCTGGCTTTGGGACTCTAGTCCCCAGGTCCCCGGGCCCGAGTAAAGCACCGGCATTAAACTAACACTTTGTTGGTTTGTGTTTCTTATCGTGGCGGGCAACACTTAGAGCACCTTCCAGTGTCTGAAGGGGCTACTGGGAACCAGAGTGGGACTGTCCATCAGGAACTGTAGTGATAGACAAGGGGCAATGGCTTCAAACTGAGAGTAGGTTTAAATTAGATATTAGGAATAAATATTTCTCTATGTGGGTGTTGAGGCCCTGGCACAGGTTGCCCAGAGAAGCTGTGGCTGCCCAGACCCTGGAAATGTCCAAGGCCAGGTTGGAAGGGGCTTGGAGCAATGTGGGATAGTGGAAGATGTCCCTGCCCATGGCAGGGGTTTGAGCAAGATGAGCTTTAAGGTCCCTTCCAACACAAGTCATTCTAGGATTCTATGATTTGGATGAGTTAAGATAAATTCATAATGGAACTCTCATTTCCACTCTTCTGAAAAGCTTGCCTCTTCTGATCCAGAGTGATCCTGGTGATCCTTCCCCTGTCTCTCTAGCTCTGATATCATTTATATTTCTCCTTTGTATTTAAATATTGTGTGGTTTTGAGGTCCCTACATGCATCCTGCTCTGCTACATGAACCTCTGTTGCTTTAGAGTCTGTCAAGCTCAGCTTCTTCATCTGTGAGCCTGGTGACAGCAAAGCAGGGTATTAAATAATCAGTGGTACAGCCTGGAACAAAAATAGGGAAACAACAGATACTGGGATTGCTCAGTCATAAGTTCCTTCTATTTTCTGGCTACCTGCTTTTACAAAACTTGTGGAATCATCTTTATCTTTGAGATTTTTCTTCTGTTCCCTCGGTCTCCATCACACTGGATTGAAATCAGCCTGGCAAATAGTTTATCTATCTAAGCTAAAGCTGTGTGAAGTGAAATTCTTCATGGTTGGGGAATTGAGATGAGCATAAGCTAAAACCTTCCTCACAGTCCTTGAAGGAGTCTGTAAAATTCTCCAAATAAAAGATAAACTGCAAAAATTAGAGCAGAAAAATAGAGAGTCCTTTAAGATTCAGTAATCTCAGAACCGTGAATCACTGGAGACTGGGAGGATGTTGGACTTGGACACTGAATTGGGGAATTTTTCCCTCAGTCCCAGCGTGGTTCTTTCCCTTCAGCAGATCCATTGGAACAGTCTTTACTGTGTTTTCTGTAACTCAAATGCTGCTTTCGTGACTTTGCAGCGAAGTGTTTCTTCCTGCCATATCATCTGTCTTGTTATAAGCTTAAAGATATGTTAAAACCCGGAAATTCTAAACTCCACTTCTGTTCCCTCTTGCCCTCACTTTTCCTCACTTTAGAATTAGAGTTGGGGAAGTTTTTGCCTGCTTACAATATACAGTCATTTTCTGAGTGTTAAGAAAGTTTGTGCTTCTATTTTGTGAGCAAAATATAATGATGTTATGGGTATTATATTTTAAATACTTTTCTGTTTCTGTATTTGACAGGTCCTGGAGCAGTATGAACGAGAAGGGTTTAGTTTCCTTGCTAAAGTTTTTAATTCTTCACATTCCTTCTTGGAAGACTTGACAGGTCTAACTTTATTACACCAGGAGACACAAGCTGCTGAGGTAAGAAAATACAATTTGGATTTTAAGAATTAACCATGTGATTAAATGAATCACTGATGGAATCAAGCAGTGGTGTTTGATTTACAGAGTGATTTACTCAGTGATTTGGACATTCTCTTAAATTATTTGTAACTTTTTGTATCCTGACTTTTCAGATACTGCTTTTAAAGGAAACAAGTGACTTGTGTTATGTGGTGTAAGGAAATCAATTACCATTTTGGGTAATTAAAATGTAATTATTATAAAACTTGAGGGATTGTACTATGGGGAAAACAGTGCTGTTTGTCTAGTGCCAAAAGTTGGAATGTGGAAGAAATTGGGGGCAATAGCATGGGCAATAACACTGTCTAAAGAGTTGTGATAGCTGAGTGTGTTCCATAAAAAAATGAAACAGGTATCAGAATCATAGAATGGCCTGAGTAGGAAGGGACCTTAAAGGTCGTCTAGTTCCAATCCCCCTGCCATGGAGCTTTCACTAGATCAGGTTGCTCAGTGTGAGGGTTGTGACTTGGCTCCCTGCCGGATGCCCAACCCCCCAGTAGCAGCCCCTCTCTTCCCCCCTTTCTGCTTCCCCCAGGGCAAAGGAAAAAAACTATGCAAATTGAAGAACCCGAAAATCAAGCTAGTTATATATAAAAAATATATTTTATGTATATTACAGTTAAGGTGCTATGTACACACCAAACGGGAATCCAAACACCCCCCGAAGGGATAGGGAAAGGGGAAAAAGGGACAAAAGGAAACAAAAAGGGACACCAAATAGATATGTGCAATCAAACCCGAGAACCAGTAAAATAACTAGTAAAACAAATCTCACCACGTCCCTTAGAAAGTAGGCTTGGCAGACACGGCCAGCACTCTCCAAGGTTCCACGTGGCAGGTCAGTGGATGCTGCAGGCCTCAGCCTTAGATAAGCGAGACCAACGCAGGGACCCACTGTTCCTGAACTCCGGCAGAAGAGAAGAAGAACAAAGGCCGCTTCTCCCCTCTTATTTATACCACGATTTATGTAAAAATCGTATGGAATACTGGGAACACTGCCCCTTCCTTGGTTACAAACTGGTAACCAGGGAAGGCCTAGATTAAAACCACCACACTCAGGTATCTGTTTTAATACTGTATTTTAATAATGATTAGTATTCCCTACTCCATCTGCTAATGTCTGTACCATTCTGCATCATAATTTAATTTTGGCCTAGTCATATCACATGGATGTTTTTGAAGTGATCATTCAGTTACTGCAGCCTGTGCAAATGGTGTAGCTGTTTTTTCAGCTGGAAATGGCTCAACATTGTTGCTTAATAACATTGGGGGGATAATGATAACTTGGCTTTCTGTTTCATGTTTTAACCTTTTAAAATAATTGGAGCAGATGCTGGAAACATTAAACTGTAAAATACCTGATGCATTCTTAAATCAGCCTGGTAATACTTAGAAAATATTTAAATATATATATGAGAGGGATCCAAGAAAGGAAAAGAAACACCACTTAACACGTACCACTTATTAACAGTGGTCTGATTGCCATGCCTGACTTTTAGGCTGCTAATGTAAAATGTAAAAACAATTACAATTGCCCTAGTTAGTAATGTATTATTTTGCAGACATTAGTCAATACATTTCTTTTGTAGTTTCAGCCTGTGCACAAGTGTTTGTTTATGAAGTTTTAGAGACTTTCTAAAAAACGTCGAGTCAGGTGTGAGTTTATTGCAACTTACTGAAGTTCAAAGTTTATAATAAAAATGGAATTAGTGTACTTTCAAAAAATCTTTTGGTTCAACACTGAGGTTTCTGCAATGAAATCATTACTCATAGGTGGAAAAACTGACATACAAAATATTTGCAGAGCTAATGCTTTCAAATTAGCCCAACTACCATAAAACCAGTGACTTTTCTTGATTGCTTCCCTGTGGTATTGGTATATTTTTGTAAAAATTCATCTGTTTTATCAGGATTAACTAGTTTAATAGTCATGATAAAGTCTGTGTTTATGAAGGTTAAGGTCTAAAAGGCAGATTTTCTGCAGATTCTGGAGCATGCTTGTTTGCTTCAGATTAAAAGATCTGTTATTTCATTACAGTTTACCACTGTTGTCTCTGAAAATCAAAGAGATGGTTTTGGACTCTCACAGTACTCCCTCAGTACATAATTTGGGGCAGATTTTAATTTTTTTCGGTGCACAAGAGAGTACTTTTAATATATTTGCTGCTGAATTATTCTTGTATTTTGAACTCCTTGGTCTCATGCTGTCATTCATGAGTGTGAGGTCTGCAAAATGGTTTTTCAGGTTTCTGGCTCTTTTGGAGCTGCTGTTGGCAGAATGTGTTCTCTAAAATGGAGGCATCAGACTTGTTAAGGTTGATGCTCCTTAGATTGGTTTGAGATATTCTTGTTATGTTCTAAAGACTGCAGCAAAAATACTGAGAGGTTTCATAAAACATTTATGGGCTCTTTTGGTTAATAGAATATTTGATTGTTCTGTTAAGAAGTTATGTGCTTTTCAGCATTCAAACTCTTTGGAGATATTTTCTAGGTTATTGGTGGGTTTGGAGACCATAAAAATGGTTTCTAGTAACTGGAGATTTTCCTTTTCTCCTGTTTAGTAAAATTTCACCAGTGCTATTTCTGCACTGTAAAGAAAATAGACTAGTAAAGTTAAATGTCATCCAACCTTATATTTACTGCAGTAGCATCATAATCAAGTTGCAATTTTGTGTGAAAATCATGGATATTTGACTGATAAACTTGTATCTGATAGGGAAATGACTCAATCTTGTGCTTTTTTAAAAAAAATTGCCCTTAAAATGTTGATTCATTAAGATGATTTAGTTGAATGTTTTGCTTAGAGTGTTTTGTTGTGGTGAGAAAAACTGTCATGCTATGTTTCAGCATCTTAAGTGAAATCACACTCTGAAACTTACTCTTGTTTTTTATTTTTAATTCACCTAAATGCTTAGCTGCTTTCATGATAAGTTATGGAAGTTCCATAGGAGTGACAGAGCAGTTTTGGATGGCCTGAATTTTCCATTAAAACTCTCCCTCCCTACATTATTAGCACAGACTGCATTTTCCCATATTAAAACAATACAGCTTGCAGTAAGATATGGGAGAGTTTTCACTGAATATCTTTTTTACTTGCTCTGTTCAGTTTCCTATTCCAGGCCTTTACTGTTGACCTAAGTATTAATGCCATCTTGACATGCTTTACCTTGTCTTTTTACAAAGACTGATAAGAATATAATCCTAATTCAACATGCAACAAGAGTAGCAATCATAATACAGATTTAGTTTGTGGTTTAACTTTGATAGTTATTGCAGGAGTTTTAGTTAATAGAGCACTTACTTCTTTGACATGAGATGCATCAGGAAATTATAAATATTCCACGACTTCCTTAGCATGGCGATTTACTCAGTAAATAGTAATATTAGCAAGTGTTTCTATTCTGTCTTGAAATGACAGTAAATGTTAGTCATCTGCTTTTTCCACATCTGGCTTTAATTTAGGTTCTGTGAAACTTTTTTTTTTTTTTTAATAACAGTTAGATATTTATGTACAGCTTCAGCAAGAGACTCTGATGACACACATGGCTTTGAAGGCCAATAGAAGCTGTGGGAAACTCCCATGTCAGCACTTAGGTCTTGTTTCCACTGGATACAGTTCATTTTGGGAGCTGCCCAAGCTCATGTAAAAACTGCACTTCTGTTTTCCAAATCACTTTGTCTCCTTGCTCCTAACCTAAACTTTTAAACTTGACACTTGTTCAATGTGTAGTTGAGTTTAATAGCTGGGCTTAAAAATAGAGACAGCCTATGGATCCTTGAATTATTAGTGAGACACGGGAGGTGTTGACTTGGAGACAGAACAACCAAGTGGATGATTTCCAGTTCAGAACTTGGGCTGGATTGTTGCGTTTCAGTGCATCCCTAAACCGACTTGTTTGCTCCCCACATATGCCAGATTTAACCCTGCAAAGGGTAATGGTGTTTGCTGTGTGGAAGGCTCTTCAGATTCAGTCTAAAATTACAGCTTTCCTGATATTCACTCTCCTACTCTGTGTTAAAGGTTAATTTTTACTGATGCGACACTGGTGGAAGTAAAAACTGACACAGCAATATAAAGCCCATAGCCAAGATTATTCCATAGTTGTGGAAAAACCATTCCCATTTGTAAGATTTTCTAAGAAACTTAGTTTTTGAAGGCTACTCATTTCATTGTTGCCCTTTTCCTCCAGAAATAGCTGCCACTGTTCTTCAAGAGCCAATTAAACAAAGTAACCAGGCTTATCCTTGCTGGGCTGTGTGTAAATGCTCTTGAAATCCTGAGGAGTGAAACATCTTATTTGAAAGGGATTGTCAATCCCAGGAGTGCTAATAGTGGTAAAGGGAAATTTTGGCATGAATTCACTGTAGTATGAGCAGTGGAATTTCTGTACAACCATTTTCCAACTATGTTCATTTTCAGAAGTACAGAAGCCTCATTTCTCTCTGTTCCCAGTAAGACCCAAGTGTAAATATACTTTCTTCCTTTGGATTTCAATTCCTAAATTACTTGAGTGCTTTACTGTACTTACTGCTTTCATCAGGATGAAAGAAGATTATAAAATACATGCAAGAAATAAAATGTTCAATTTGTTTTATGATTGATTAAAACACAAGAAGGGGTAGAAGTCTTGTAGTCTAAGAGGGTCATAAAGAGTTTTGGAAAAAAATCAAATCCAGACCAGAGTTCATATTTCTAAATGTGATTATAAAGGTCAGATATTGGTGCCAGCAGGTCATGATGTCTGTATTATTTTGCTTTAGTAATGTTGTAATTCAAGTTTTTTGTCTCTTATAAAAAATTGGGATCCATAGTGTCTATAATTTCTATGAGAAGTTCTTGTGGTCAGTGAATGAACCCTGTTTGTTATTTGCAAAATCACTTTTCTCTGCTGGTTTACTGTATCCCAAGCTATGTTTCTTATATTATACAAGGGTAGGATTAATTTAAAAAAAAAAAG